ATTTTATAAAAAATATATTTTTTTTATTTATGACCAAAATACAATGTTTTTCTCAAAAATTTGATGAAGATATGTGATTTGTCGTTGAGTTAGAAAATTCTAAACAACGAATCAAATTTTCTCATGTTATTTCCATAAGAAACTGGTTAGAGTGCGAACTATTTTAATGTTTATTTAAAAGCTAAAACTTACAGATATTTTTTTAATCAATTTGGAAGCAGTTGAGACCCTGAATATCCCTGAATATATATATATATATATATATATATATATATATATATTGTCTATGATTATTAAAATATGTGCGTTTTGTCAGAAAATAAAAATAAAATACAAAGGATATTATTTTAGGCCAATGAACAATTTATTCGCTGATATAACCACGATTTTACACTAAATTTAGTATTGGCCGAAGAAACCAATAATAATAACGTGCATATCTTACTCAAATATTCAAATAATCGATAGTTTAATATAAACTAGTACTAAAAAATAAATTATCCGCTTTATGATGAGTAAATCCAAATACAAATAGCATCAAGTGCTTGAGGTGATTCTTAGCACAATCAAAAATTTATCTCGTATGGTACACACATCTGATGCATGTAAAATAAATGATTTATCTATATAGTACCACACATTGTTTTATAATGTAGATTGTAGACAAAGACCCATTAGCATCTGGCTACGATAATCTTCGGCGTAGCCTTCAAACGTACGGTTTCACAAACAAGCCGTATTCTGTAACGCCGAACCTATTTAGAGAGCCAACCGACGACTGACGTGTGGGCTACAAACCACTTAGGTGCTACGGATTATTCGATATATGCAGACGAGACCAAGGCAGAGAAATTGATTTAAAGCAAATCAAATACAAACAACAATTGTAATAATAAACACATATAATTGTTAAACTCAATCAATTTAATTCTGCCTAATCATAAGGTATCTCTGTAATTGTTTCCATTGTAATTTTGTACCAGATTTTTTTGTGACTGCGCTGTTCTATTAGCAAAACTTATATGCTAGCGGTGTATATGAAATTAATTAAAATATGTTCAAGCAACACTTTAGAGTATCAATTTAAATTAAAAAAGAATAATATGATATTAAAAATTCTTTAACGAGTTTAGGTAATATCAAACTGATAAATAGATTCATTACTTCTTTACTTATGAGATAACGCATGCTAAACTAAATTTTATATCTCCTTACTAACGGGCTCCCGCCTAGTTCGACCTAATCGCGAATCTCAGCATTAGATAATTTACACGTCTCGCAGCCTGTTGGAGCAACATATATAATATAGGTACCTACTCTATCATCCAGCCATCCGGTGATTAAACGCGTTCAATAATTCAATCTAGGTGCGCCAATATAGGCGGAGCAACGTCATAACAAGTCGCCCCTTCAGACGGATACGAGTTCAGTCGCTCCATCATCATCGCCGAGTAATGTGTATCCGAAAAGGGATGGGACCTACCCTTCTTCCACCCTACGGAAGAAGGAGGCAAATAAGTATTTAAGTGAGTGCCTACCACTTAACTAAAACTGGAGAAAGCTTCCGCACGCCGCTTTCCAGAGCGCCTCCTTCGGTAAAAGATCGACTCGCGATCAGAGTAGGAAATGGAAATATCGAGATAAGATAGATGCTTTGATGCGATTTTCAACTTTTTTACTTCATATAGAAAAAGAACTAGAAATTGTCGATAGAAAACCTTTAAAGTTATATAAAAACACGTCCAAAAATAACTGAAAAGGTGCCGAATTACTTAATAGGGTTCTACTTAATGTTTTAATAAATTTCACATGATTAAAACATCCAATAAAACTCCAAAAATAAAAAAAGGTAAATCAGACAGTACCATAATATATTTTATGATTTATGCATCTTATGAGAAAATGAATAAATATTATAATAAAGATATGCAAGATCATGGAGCCAATTCTGCCCTAAAATAGACCAACATTATAGCAAGACCATGTTACGTAGTAGTTTTCATACAAAATAGTTTCATACTAGGTAGCAGTTCTCATACTAAATACTGTCCATGTATTTGCTGTGCGATCAGGCGTTTCACACATAAAATGCAACTTCACACATATGTTATTACGCCACACCACAAAGATGCTGTTATGATCAAATCGTTTTTTGACATGTGTGCGTATTCTAGGTTAGGTTTTCTATAAAAAACGCACAGCCACCACATGAAATTTTGACAGTACTTAGTACAATTTTATATAAAAACTGCTACATAACATAGCTTTGCCATAACATTGGACTATTTTGCAGTAGAATCTACCCTATATCACAATATGAAGCAAATCATAAGAAAATGCTTATGATTTTTCAAACCAAATAAAAATTTTATTATTAAATTCAAACAGTAAAAGATTTGTTCAAACCCCAAAAAATCTCTAATACCATTTTCACTATTTTATAAAGAATGTACTAAAGTAACGTTTAGTGAGATAGAAAGCTCAGTGCCTTTTCCGGACATAGCAAATATGTGCATGAAAATATATTGTTTGAATGACAATGTTAAATTAAAAAATGTTATCATAAAAATCTATATAAATAAAAATCTTATAAATGAAAAATTCACACATTTTACGAATTGGTTCAAACAGTAAGTATAAATAAAAAGAATTAGTTTCATATCATATTTTAACAAACGATTAATAAAAAACGTAAATTCATATATGAATAAATCAATTTATATTATATCGTTTCTATTTCGCTGTTGTACAAAATAAAGAAACCCAGAATGATACTCAAGTGGCTATAATATTTATTAAAACTGCAAACAAGCTGAAACATTTTATAATGCAACAAAAGGTTTTCTCAATCATCACATTTCAAGCTCTCGCCAATTAGCCATTAGGGAATTACCGGTCGGGAAGAAAGAGGGATCCGCGTCTATACAAGACCCTCTCTTTATACGAGTTTAGTATTTCCGCCATATTGATTTATGTATACTATAACGTAACTCGTCGCTGTTTTCTATCGAGGAAAATAAACATTTATATATTGTACGATATTTCTGAATGGCAAAGGCACCGACGGGAATAAAATCAGTACGTAGAAATAAAAATATAAAAGTCCAGTAAATATTTATAAAAAATGTTAATCTTATATTTATAAATTAGATTGAATTAAATTTTGTTTAGTTTATGTTTACAAAGTCCTCCAAAAAAAGTCTTAACACAAACAAAACCAAATAAGTCAAAGATAATCCAAGATTTAATTATTTATATATATATATATATATATATATATATATATATATATTAACAAAGTCTAGTAATCAGGCATAACATCAATAAAAAACATGAATTTCTTTCAATAATTTATTTTGAATCCATACGTTTCGGCTATAATCATAGCCTTCATTTAGTGGAAACTAAAAATAAAATTAAAACTAAAATAGTTGAATTGGAGTGAAAATAAAAAATAAAATAGTAAATAGTACTTACAATTAAAAAATCTTAGTGTTAAATGGAAAATTTTAATAATCCATGGTATCAGGATATGGTAATTTACTACACTATGTATTATAAACATTAAACTTGTAATTACACAATATTTTCACAGTATACTAATTTAAAAAATCACAATTGGATAATGTGTTTTTCGTAGACTGTTTGAAGATATAATGGAGGAAGGACTTTTTTAATAAATATTTTTATCAAGATTCTACACATGTGTGGAACAAATTGCGAATCCTTTGCGCGTCATTTTTATTGTTTTGTGAGAAATTTGGAAATACTATCTAAATAAAAGAGATTTGTGTCACACAGCGTGTTAAGTTCATTACGTTTATTTATTGTTTTATTGCTGTAAATAGTTAAAAGAATTATAAATCCTTCTATAATTCTTCGTTTGAATAAATTTTGTTCGAATTGCAGTACAGTCGGGTTAGAAAAGTCCATATTGTGTTTTAAAGTATGTTAGCTCGGCTAACATAGTTTTAAACTGTCTTGTAATTTTTGAATTAATATCTTTATATTATCTTTATTGTTATACGTTTTGACACTTGATGTGTGTCATCATTCAATAATCATCAAGATAAAAGCATGAACTTATACATTGCAATAATCTTATTTTTGACGGAATTTAACACAAAACCAAAATTATTAGAAAAAGGAGAATTATATTATTTAAATACATAATGGAACAAAACATCATACAACCACGTATAAGTGATAAGTGATAAGTGAAACATATGTATAGATATATATTCTACTACATCCATTTTTTACAGATATCTTCATTTTTCTCTTCAGAAAGTCTATTTAATCAGTCTATTCAATTTTGACTTAATAATTCAAATTCCATTTATTTTCAACTCAAAATTCGAATTCTAAGACTTGGCCCGGGCTCGATCCAATAATCGCTTATAAAATTGTATAAATTATAAAATGTACTGAATATAAAATTGAAATGACGCAATTTGAATATTTATTATTGGATCATCTTTACCCTCACCTTCAAAATTATACCAAAGCGGTTCATCAAATTGTAGTATTATATAAGTTGATTTGAATTTTTAATGTCAGTAACTCTCAGAAAATTCACATGATAAAATCTGTTGTTTTGTCATACAAAATTGTATATTGTGCGCTAAAACCTTTATATAGCTCATACGCGTATAAAATATTTAACCGTATATGGCATTCAATATAATCTTCTTGTAATATCAAATACGTTTTTATCCTGTTATAGGTTTATAACATATTTTTTAGAATCATATAGATATCTAAAATAGTTGAATAAATTAAAACACTGTTGAAAAATATTAACCAGCATGTAGAACACTCAGTTAATTATCTAAACGCAAATAAAATATTTCAAAAATCCTTTTTATAATAATATAATAAACATTACTTCAAACGTTCATTATAATTTGTAGCATATGTAACATTATATCAATTAATAAAAACGAGGATGTTGAATATATAATGAAGTAATAACGTGAATTTTTGGAATTCTTTTGCAGGCTAGGATTCATATCTCAATGGGGCGCTTTGGCCGGACGGTACGCCGCGCTCTGCCCACCTGGCTGGCCGTGGGGAGCGGCTGGTCGTCTGCCTTTCCATAGTCCTACGCACGGTGAGTGTTTGACTTGTTTGGAATTTTGTGCATTTCATTCATAAATTAATTTAATTTAAATTTTAAAATGTTAAAGTGTAAAATATTATAATTACATAGTTATTAAAATTTCTATTTAATATCAGCGATATTTCAGTAAAATCCATAAGAAAATAAGTAAAACACATATTAATATTTCATAATATTACTTTATTTTAAAAGAGATTGAATATAATACGTATTCCGAAGAGAAAAGCTAAGACCGTGCTCAATCAAATTAAATTTAAAATTTTATAAGGTTACTTTATTTTAAAAGAGATTAAGTATAACACGTATTCCGAAGAAAAAAGCTAAAACAGTGCTCAATCGGGGTAAATTTAAAATGGCCTTAGACCAAGGATAAGCGCAAAGTCCTTTAAAATAATCGTTGCATCGACGTCCTCTTGTACAATCTGTGCAGGGAGTCCCGCGTCGGAAAACCGGCTCGCCGATCATATTACCGCGCGGTTCGTACATACACACCTTTAGAAATGAAGGATAAGTAATAAAAAAGCCATATAACTTAATCTAATTTATTTGTGAAAACGTTTCAAGGTCTTTAGAAGAGGATTATTGTATTTCACAATGCTTGATATCTAAGTAAATTAAATTTAATTAGATGCGCAAGGAAAACTTTAGAAGTAAATGCAATTGCTAAAACTTTTTAGAAAAATATACTTGCACATAACTATTTAATATATTTTTCGAACTCAATTAAAATTGTTTTTTTATTGTATAAGTAATAAATATGCAAAAATATAAAATATTTTACTAAAATAATAAAAGAAAATTTAATAAGGGTAGTGAGGGGCACAAGGATCCAAATTGACTGAGTAATTATATTGTAATAGCCAATCCAATTATATTCCAACATAAATAACACATATCAAACAAACAACTATCTGACTATGCTCAGTAAAACTCCCATTTCAAAATTGTAGAAATGTTTTTTTTGCTGTTTTTCAAAAATTTGACATCTGGTTCTTTTTACCCCATAGGCGGAGTAATATGGGATGACAAAGAGGCATACAGACTCAACGTTTTGTTTTTAATTTTAAAGAGACTTTACAGAACAATAGCTACATTATTCAACCAATGCAAAATATAAATTTCATGGGTACATTTTTACAGAGATCATACCGTGTGATTGATCTCGTATTTTGTCAGAACTATTTATCAGCAGAGTTCGAATAACTATATATTTAATTTATCCCTTGTTAAATTATTTTTTTTAACTTAATTTACTTTTTTATTTACTATTACTGTTTATACCTTTACACCGCCAGAGTCAAAATTTAGTTCGTCCCTTTTACATCACCCACGTGCAAGCTTTTATAAAGGTGATATAAAAAAATGGTTGAATCTATCTTGAAATTAACAATACTTGTAGAACAATTAAATTACGTATACTTAAAATTTATATTGAGGTCTCGTAAACTAAACAACAGTGTCCAAAAATAAAAAACTATCAACAGAAGAAAATACTTCATGTATTTATTTCTTATTTTATGTATTTGCAAATACTGCCGAAAGTGGTAATAATCAAGGTGATGGCTGTTATACATTAAATGTTATACATCTTTTTCTTCTATTTTTAAATATTTTTGTTAGAAGATTCTAAACAATACTTGTTTTCGAGATATCGGTGGTGGACCTTATTACTACTTTTAAGCCCTGCTCTACCCTACTTAATTATTAAGTACATTCTAAATATTTATGCCAAATATGGGAAACAAAATAATATTAACGAAAATAGACACTTGTACTTTTTTAGTTTATAGAAAAATAAAAATTTACCATTCGATAACTATCCAGCTGAAGATAACGCACAACAGCACAACCCATGCGCATAGAATTGGCCCAAATAAGCTGTGTAAAGTTTGTGGGATCATCCAATTTTAATAAAGTCGACATTCTTGTCCCTTTGTGAACGTAAATCATAGACATCATGTTATATATATGTTTTATAATTAAATATAGATCGTAAATTTCCCAGACATACCCTTGACCTTCTTGTACCATAACCGCACAATGTCACTGGTGAATGTCTTCTTAGGAAACCACCAGATGTGTTTTTCGTAGCCGTTCTCGCCAACCCTCTGCGGTATAAAAGTGCCATCTGAGAATACCGACACTGGACACGGGTCGGATCCGTTGATGCACTGACGGATCCAACGCGAGGCTATCTCCGCCAATTCCGCATCCCAATCTAAATGGTTCATGTTACGAACTGGGCCTGATACATTGATTATATTATAATATCATGACTAGGGTTTGTCGATTTTCAAAAACCGGTTTTAAAAACCGTTTTTTTTTGGCGAAAATTATGGGATTCGAAAACCGGTTTTTTAGTGAAAAAAAGTCGGTTTTCATTATATAAATGGAAAATGACAAGTATAGCCAAATATAAAAGATAGATAAAAGCGTTTTGATTCTTGAAATCATATCGGTTCAGTAGCATTTGATATCTTATCAGTCTGCAATGGTTCCCAGAAAGGTTTTGTATATATTAATTTAGATTTTTATACCAGTGTATATATTAATTTAAATCACTGTGACTTCTTCTTGAAGTAGTAACTTCTTCTACTCAAACTTAAAAAAGAGTTTTAAACCCCAGAAGCCACAAATAGAAAAACAAAAAAACTTAGAATTATTATAATCAATTGTTTTTAAAAATAAAATTAATATTAACTAGTATGTATCAACATGTATCTAATATTTTTTTTAATTTAATGAATGTTTTTTATTTAAAAATGTACTATTTTCATTTATTCGAAAACTTTCCTTTCACTATCATAAAAATATTTTCATTCTTATATGTGAAAATGATGCATATATAACGAATAATTATTTTCAAAATTATTAAATCAAGATAAACTATTATTTTTTAATTCTACTAATTAAAATTAAAATAATTTTGTTTCCTATCCATAAAATTGAAATAAATAAATTCAGTCAAATACTGCTCTAAATCACACTAAAGTTGCGGATAAATTACAGAGTATTCGAGCAAAAATTTATTTTCTATATAAAATTCGAAAACCGGCTAAAACCGGTTTTTTAGTCAAATTAAAATTCGAAAACCGGTTTTCTGAAATTTCGGTTTTTGTATAAACCCTAATCATGACACTTCAAAATGCTTTGGTTTTTATAATTATAAATGAATAATAAAATTTGATAGGTGACTTTTCTGTTTAATTTAATTTATGTGTAACTTAATCATAAAATTGCGTGCTTGTATTTTTGTGACTTTTGAAACGATATTAAAAATACCCCATATATCTTGGGATATACAAATATCTGTGCACGTATTATAAAATTATTTAAAAATTACCAATTCGTCTGTCAAGCGCGACTAAATTCCTTATATTGTTATGGCTAGTCAATATGCGCTCTATGTCCGCTGGTGTCAATTTTACTGGCACCATTCGATAAGGCTTACATCGATCCGCCATTGGACTATCCTAATATTTCAAAAATGCTTAGATTATATATTAAATTAATTAATTAATTATTATCTATGTTACTTGAGCATATCGGCACATAGTATTGCGCTCTCCATTGTCACAATATTGCGAATCTTCGATGGAGCAGTAATCATACCCTGTCCATTCTGAAGAATTCCAATGTTTACTGTACGATCCATATATTAGAAGTGCGTGGGTAAATATTATATAAAACAATGTTTTCATTTTTCTGAGTTTGATTTCTACATTAAAAAATAACTGGAGGAAAATTTTGTTGCGTGTTAGTTGTGTGATAAAAATTATGCCGAGTTATGTCATGTCAATGATTATAAAAACAAGTGAATGTATATTGTTTTTGAAAATATTAGAATTTTATATATTTTTTTTTTTGAATACAAATATGCAATCAATTATTAGATGATAAGGTGTCAATAACTCTGTAATTTAGTTAAATTTGTAACTTTAGAACCTTTATTAACGTTGTTTCACAAATATCACCTTAACCTCTAAATATAACTCATGTTTCAATAATTTTCACATTCAGCGTACATTTTGTTCTTAATTAATTTCCCGCAGGGTAAGTTATAGTAATCGCAATAAATCTAAAATGAATTTTTTTATATATTTTACGTTTCAGAGATTTCTGAATAATTTGGCATACATTTGAAAAAATGCATGTATGTGCGTGTGTAAGAAACATTTGATTCCTATTGATAAGAAGGCGTGCTGATTAGGTTTTGGCCAAGGCAGATCCAGTCTTTTCAAAGACAGGGGGCAAAAAGTGCCAAAAATGGTATTTCAGTTTTCTAAAGAATGGAGTGTCTGATTTCAATAATTCAAAGAAACATTTTATTTGTATTGAGGAAATAAACAACGGAATAAATTAATCGGCATGCAGATTCAGCTATAAAAAAAGTAAGAAAAATGACATTTGGCGGTCAAAATTGATCATTAGACATATGCACATCAAATTAACAGATATTTTATAGAGATTTTATAAGAAATTTTATAGAAATTTTTTTTATAGAAATTTTGTTCACATTTCTATGAGTTCTCTACCAATGTTTATTTGTTAGATTTTGTCTCTAAAATAGCACACGCTAGGCATCGCTTTAAAAAGCTCAAAATATTAGTAAAATTCAAAATATAATTTTTTTTTGAGTCAAATTTCCTTAAAAATTTCAAAAATCTACTTTTTTCAATTATCAAAAAATATTAAAACTTTTTTAAAAATTTTAATTTTCTATTTATATAATTTTTAAAAGATAATATAACTTACCATCTTTCGATGTTGAAACATATTTGTATTAATATGCAATGCCCCCCGTCGATGGCGTTTACCGCAAACGTAGAACATCGAGCGCCTTAAAACTTTGTCGACAGGCATTTAGTAAATATTCGTTTCCAATACAGAAGCGCCTGGCAAGTGGGTCGGTTGAAACATACGTGTGGATAAGTACGTAATCCTGGAATACTTGCTTGTATTATGCCACAATCAACAAAGCCTCAGTCATGCAGATGCGGGTCTTCTTTTAATCTTCTTGTCGCCCTATTCTATCGCATTGCATTTTCTCATTCTGTTTCTGAATTTCTAGGGTTTCATTCTAACGACTTATTGTTCTCAAATCGATAACATTGGAATCGAAGGAATTGTTATGGTTTCTGAAGGTAAAGCGATCCGGCATATACATCGCGACTGCAGATTAATATTTTGATTAAAACGCCGACGATGCATAATATTGGGGCCGGGAAACATTAAAGCATTCTGACGAGTTTTACAGAAGAAAGAATGGTGACATGCTTTCTAATTTATATTAATTGACCGATTCTGTCGTAAAAAGACCAATGTTCTGGCAAGACTATGTTACGTTCCAGTTTTCATACAAAATGTAACTAAACACTGACAAAGTGCCATGTATTTGCTGTGCGATCAGACGTTTTACTCATAAAATGCAACTTCACTCATATGTTATCAAGCCATATTTTGAAGATGCAGTTATGATAATATCGTTCTTTTGACATTTGTGCGTTTTCTAGGTCACATCAACCACAATAGAATTTGAAAATTTTTAGCACCACTTTATATGAAAACTGCTACATAACATAGGCTTGCCATAACATTGGTACATTTTACGGCACAATTCTCCCCTAAATATATTTCGTCGTCCAATCTCGTTTACCCAGAAAGGTCGAAAGCAGATTTTACATGCAGTTTGTATTTATTTACCAGCTTATTTCAAATACCAGTCAAAAAATCAATCAAGAGCTATAAATATGATTCAATGTTAATAGAGAACATATAATAAAATACATTTTAATTAATTTCCGAAACCAGCATTTGTGACAGTTTTCGCTATTAGCACGATTTAGTAATTCATTACATTAATATTTGATTTCAACAGCTTTCAATCAGTGCACACAACCAGCTCCTCTATTATAAAAGGGAGTACGATTATTAAATGATCTGATGCGTTCGATAAATGATATAAACCCAATGCGTTTTTAATCAAAGCTCAATGCGGCTTTCATATGTACACGAGGAATGATCGAACGTAGCTGATTATGAATGGGATTGCTATTAATTTGGATTTCCATGGAATATCTCTTTGAATTTGTACTATTAATGGCATGTTCTATGCCGTATGTCGGAAATTACAGTTATTGTTAATCCAAAACTTTGATATATTAAAATCATTCGACATAAAACATTCATTTATCACGAAAACTTTAAAATTAGTTATTGACATACAAATAATTATTAAAATCGGTATGAATTTGTAATTTGTGATATTGAACATTAAGCTATATAGAGTATATATAAAACTAGCTGTAAGTGGAATTCTGTCTTGAGGCAATTATGGCATCGTGCCTTGAGGCAAATTGCTGGAACTTCCCGCACCGTAACGAAATGTTCGAGGAATATTGAATGTTTTCAAATATATTATTATAAATATTGTAACATTGTCTAATATTTATAAGAATTATATAAACCGAATTGCAGAGTTGAAATTATTTCTAAAGTATATTAGAACTATAGTCAGAATTAAAAATAAAATCTGAAATATTTTCGATATACAAAATACTAAAAAAAAAAAAAAAAAAAAAAAAAAAAAAATCCAAAATCAATTATTTTGTTAAGACAAGCAGAAAGTTCTTTGAATCATTTAAATCGGACGCTTAGTTCTCTCAAAAACTGCCATTTTTTACATAATTAGCTCCGTATCTTCGAAATGGCTGGGCCTGCCTTTGCCAAAAACTGATAAACACTTCTCCCAATCATTACTAATTCAATGTTTTTTAGATCATTCAAATCGGATACTCCGTTCGCTCAAAAATTCGATTTCTATTTTCTGCACTCTTTGCTCCGTATCTCCGAAACGGCTGGACCTGCCTTTGCCAAAAACTAATCAGCTCTTTTCCCAATCAATAGGAATCGAATGTTTTTTGAACCATTCAAATCGGTTGATCCGTGCGCCCTAAAACGTGACTGGAAATTTGTATCCACACATACATACACACACACACACACACACACACACACACATCCATTTTTTCTGAGGTATGCCAAAACGTTCAGAAACCTTCAAAACGTCGAGAAATGTAAAAATTTTCAATTCCGATTTTCGGCCCATTACAATAACTTACCCTACGGGAAGTTAATAATAAAATGTGCTTTAATAAAAGTAATCTTAATATCTAGTGGTGCATGGCATTGTGCCTTAAGGCAAATTGCTGAAACTTTCCGTACCAAAAATTATAATTTTTAAAGAAGATTCATATTTTTTTAGAACTTTGAAAAAATAGATTTTTTACTTAACTTACTTAAATATTCGAAACTGCTGTAATTATTCGAAGACTATAGATAATCAATAATACAGGTCCATATAATAAAAAAAGTTGTTTGTATTACGTGTGTGGCATATATTTTCCAATGTAGTTTTTACACTGAACATGAATCTAAAGACAAAATTGGCCGTCAAATGTCAAAAAATTGAAAAAAAAGAAAAAACGACAAAATTTAATTTAAATTTAACTTTAAATTCGTATTCAACGGTAACAACTAAATTGGAAAACATATGCCGCACTCCCAATATAGACAATCAATAAATTGACTTGAGTTGTAATCAATAAAAATTGATCAATGATTAAATAATTGTAAATACTATATATTTCATTGTTCATACATTATTTAGCGTAATTTTTTTCGTACAAAGCACTTAAGTATGTTTACATTCACAAGAGATGTCGAATGAATCAGAGGATATATGTATCTTATAATAATGCATATAAAATGTATATACATTTTTAAACTGAACTCTAACAAATGTAATTTGTATTTGAAGTAGAAGCAACACTGGCTCTTCTAGTATTGTTATTTACTTGTCATGTGTGATTAAACTATTATTGTCTTTAAATTTACTAGAAGACATTTGTAAATTATAAAGTGACACTTTTTTTAACTGGAAACCAATAAATAGTTTACATCAGAATGTTACATAATTATGACAAAGCAGTTTATTCATGTTAGTATTATTTGTCAACAGATGGTTCGAGTACGACGAATGACGAGGTGTCGCCCCCACAGTCTCCTCACGGACAAAACGCCACATGTGTTGACAGTACGCAAGGAGCGCGCTCTTCGCCGCCGTCCGCCAATTCCCATCACCCCGCGTACCTGAGCTCGTCCGCCGTCGATTCGGAAGGCGAAGCAGACATTGACGGCGATTGCGACGAAGGCGTGCACGACCGTAGCGCGGACAGCGGTTCTCCGGGGGCACCCAACGGCTCTAACGGAAGCAACAATCTCGGAAAACGTAAGAAAAAAACCCGAACGGTTTTCTCTAGAGCGCAGGTCTTCCAATTGGAATCAACTTTCGACATGAAACGCTACCTCAGCAGTTCGGAGCGAGCTGGACTTGCAGCATCTCTACGTCTTACCGAAACACAAGTCAAAATCTGGTTCCAAAATCGCAGAAATAAATGGAAGAGGCAACTAGCAGCTGAATTGGAAGCAGCAAACATGGCACATGCGGCTCAGAGATTAGTTAGAGTTCCTGTATTGTATCACGAAGGAGCGCCCGCCGGGTATCCACCACCGCCCACGCTTTATTATCATCCTCCCCCCGGTGGAAGTCCGCCGAGACCACCACTATCGGGACTCGTTTAAAAATTTCAAAGGCGCTCAAATAAATACCAAGAAGTTGATAGTAACTAATTTCATTATTTTGAAAACTGTATAATAACTTCTTAAATACAAATAAAAACTCACAATATTAATTTAATATAATAATGTAATATATGTAAAATATATTGACACAGAGATAATATAATTAAGTGACATGTGCAAATATTTAACAAGATAAAAATTGGAAAAAGTGTCGAGGAACAATGGTGACTTATGTGTTATGTTGAAATAAATTGGATATTGTTAATTATCAATAACGAAAAGTGAGTGGTGATAACGTTAACATATTATTATGGATTTATAATTACGTCAAAACCACATGACAAGTTACGTTGTTATAAGTGATATTTTATAAGATGACTGTAAAGTTCACTGTGTTATAAATATAATATATTAGTTTTTACTTGGACATATCAATAAATGCTCAGTGTAATGGATAGGGAGTATAATATCCGCACTATCTGCATAATGCTCTACTGTATCTTTTGCAAATTAGATAAATGGTAATAGTTTGCTAATGTAAATGTAACGATATGAAATGTTTTAATTTAAAAGTTTTCGAACTTCTGAAGAATGTACATATCTTCCAGTGGAGCTAAAATTCTTAAATTTTTAATTAGCTTTGATAGTATATTTGTTGTAAATATGGAATATTATAAATAATTAAATTCAAATATCTTATATTCAAATCTAAAAAAACATATCATCTTAAGAATTATTTCTATTTAAATTTGTAGACATATTGTATTGCAATATTATTTAACCAAATTGTCTCCCTTTAATGTCTGTAAATAATATCCCAAATTGTGTATCAAAAATAATAATAAAGCAATCAAATAAAATATTACATTATATATCAGTAGATTCAGACGCATTAAGAAACAGTAAGCTGTCTATATTATATATACCTGTGTGTGACATTTAAATAAATAAATTATACGCAAACAAAATTGTGCTGTGTATGAACGGTGTCGAATAAATGTGGATATTAAAAACAAACTGTTTTTTTTAATTAGACTTTTCTTTTTACGTAACAGCATCAAAGCAATTAAATAAAATAAAATAAATTAAATAAAATAGTGTCCCAGACCTTGACGTCATGCCGAAATGGGACCTCTACTGTTATAAAAAATAATAGAAAAAAAAAATATCTCACGTTGTTTAGAAATTATGAGCTTGTAAGTGCAACTTAGAGCTTTTATGAAATTATGACCATTTTTTGGTTATTATAATGTTTATTAATTTTATTATTGCTTGCAAAACCTCGAAGTTTTTCAATAATAAAATTTTAAACATTTTACCATTTTACAATCCTGATTATAGGCACCAATTTTGATGAAACTTGCCAACACACTTTAAATTTAAAAAAATCAAACTCATAGTTTAACAAACAGTTTTAGATCTTGAAAACTTGGAACAATTGTGTTGTTGTTTTTTATTGTGGTCCTAAAAATGTTATTCACGGTTAGTGTTCCAAACTATAAACAAACAAAATTAAAATTAACCAAAATACCCTAAAAATAGACATAATTTTACCAAAGCTCTAGGTTGCACTTAAAAGCTCATAATTATCAAACAACGAGAATTATTTTATCCAAACCTTAAATATGAGTCCCACGGTTAATATGTTAATTTTTTTCTGTTCTTAAATAAATTCAAAAAAATTAAAATCATTAGCTCTCATCTAACATAAGGCAAATTATATTTTTTACTTGTAATGAGCTTAATCAAGTAACTATCAGTCAAGTCTTGAAAATTAAGCGCACTCTATAGTCGATCGTTGAAATTATATTAATAAAATAATACAAAAATTCATTATAAATATTCTTTTAATTTACTTAGTCAATTCAGATTACCATTAGTATGAAAGGATAAAAGTTAGAGGATACACAAATATTTTTTTTCGAAAGATACAAAAATCATTGGAGTTGTTCTGATAGAGATGATCATCAAATACGTACTTCTTGAAAATAATTACAATCAGTTGAAGGTCAAAATTTTCCAAACAATTTCATAAATAATTTGATAGTATTAATTTAAAAACTGCTGAATAATGACGAGTTTTCAGTATTCGGAACGAATGAAATAAATATTTATTAATATTGAATTTGTACGTTTTGTTTAATTGTTTAACATTGTTTAATATTCATTGTAGAAGTAATCCTTGTAAAACATTCATAATACGGATTCGCTCTAAGAAGTTTTGGGAATTGATACTATACTATACCACGGTACTTTTATAGCACGGTTTCACTGTAACACGGTTCGATTTCAACAAAACCCTAATAAAGTAAGTAATATTGTAAAATATATAAAGAGGAAAAATTAATAAACGTGATAAAACATACCTTATTCGACATTTTTCATTCGAGTGCGTACATTCTATCAGAAAAATGTTTAAGCATAACCGAACAGTTCATCATAATTCTTAAATGAAGATCCTGCAAATAAAAAGAGTACAGAATTTTAATAAACAGAACTTAGTATGCTCTTACCATTAATAAAAAAAATTATTATTAAATTAAAGCAAGCAATCGCAAATCCTTTGTGAAAAAATAGTACAAAATATTCAAAAGTTGAGGATATATTGCCAAAATAAAAACTGAAATTAAATTATTTACTATTTTATTACATTATATAATTCAATTTTTTTATTTGCATAGTTTTATTGTCAATCAAAATAATATACATTTTTTAAGACAATATGCTCTTGGTGTTAATGCATTTAAGAGATTATCTCCTATGAGATATCTCTTTTTTTATTTTTGACATTTTATTTAAGATTGTATGGTAATTTTTTTTCAATCTTCGTGTGGGATATTCATCGCTTAACTCTTTCAAATATGTTTGGGTAACCTGGTAGTTTTTCGTGGTATTTTTTGCTCCTTTCTTTTATCATTTCATTAATAGTTTTTCTTTTCAGGTCTTTATGTAGGGTGTCATTTGTAACATACCAGGGTGCGTTCACAATGCATCTTAAAATTTTCGATTGCGCTACTTGTATTTTTTAACTTCCCGTAGGGCAAGTTATAGTAATCGCAAAAAAATCAAAAATGAAAATTTTTATATATCTTTACGTTTCAGAGGTTTCTGAACATTTTGGCATACCTTAGAAAAAATGGATGTATGTGTGTGTGTGTGTGTGTGTATGTATGTATGTATGTATGTATGTATGTATGTATGTATGTATGTATGTATGTATGTGTGTGTATGTATGTGCGGATACAAATTTTTGTCGACGATTTCGGGAACACGGATCAACCGATTTGAATAATTCAAAAAACATTCGATTTGTATTGATAAGGAGACGTGCTGATTAGTTTTCGGCAAAGGCAGGTCTAGCCGTTCCGAAGATACGGGGCAAAAAGTACCGAAAACGGTAACTCAGTTTTTAAGTGAACGGAGCGTCCGATTTGAATAATTCAAAAAACATTTCACTTGTATTGACAAGATGAAGAATCGATAAAATTTTCATGAAGGTAGGTCTAGCGGTTTCGGAGATATGGAAGAAAAAGTAAAAAAATGAGCCTATTGGCGGTCAAAAATGATCATTAGACATATGCACATCGAATTATCAGATATTTTATAGAAATTTTAACAATAAGTATACATTTTGTTAACATTCCTATGGGTTCCGTACCAATGCTTATGCGTTAGACATTGACGCGGGGCTTACGCGCTTTATATTTTGTCCCTATGCAGTTAAAGCAGTACGATTGCTTTGAAAAGAAAGTTCAGATCTTCCACAATATGCCAAAATAAAGAAAAAAAATTTTTTTCAAAAAAAAAAAAAAATTAAAAAAAAAAAAAATTTAAATTTTTTTTTCAAAAAAGTAATTTTTTGTCCAATTTATAGTTTCTAAAAAATCTTATTTTTTCAAAGTAAATTTTTTTCAAAAATGTTAATCGTTTTTAAAAAAATAATAATTTTTGGTACGGGAAGTTCCAGCAATTTGCCTTAAGGCACGATGCCTTAATTGCCTTAAGACAGAATTCCACTTACAGCTAGTTTATATTTGAATTGCTTGCGCACGCCCATAGCTCAATGCCGTATGTCCAGATTGGGATAATTATTGTTTTATATAAAAGGAGTTTGTATATAATTCAAATGAACTCAAAATTCATAACACACTCCAATAACATGAAAAAATTTTAATAAATCCAATAGCTTTAGAAAAAATCAACCTCAAGATCGGTGTAGTATTTTATAATTTATCTCCAATTTTCCAATAATAATTAACTTCCCTTAGAGTAAGTTATATTAATCGCAAATAATCGTAACATTTTTGCGTATCTTTAGGTTTCAATCGGCGAAAAATTTAATCCGCACACACATTACACTTAATTTAATCCGCACATACAAATCCAATAAATCAAATCAAATCAAATAAAAAAAGTATAAAAATGCCATTTGTCGGTCAAAAGTGATCATTAGACATATGCACATCAAATTATCAAATATTTTAATAATTAGTACAAGTTTTATTTACATTTCAATGGGTTCTGTACCAATGATTATCCGTTAGACTGCCACGCGGCGCTTAAATATCTTTTGTTCAAAATAATAAAAAAAATCAAATTGTTCCAAAAACCAAATTTTTTCCAAACATTTCAAAATTCCTTATAATATTCCAAATATTCAAAAAATGTTATAGTGTTTTTAAAAATCTTAATTTTCGGCCAGAAAAGTTCCAGCAATTTGACATAGAGTACGATGCCATGCACCACTAGTTTTTGTTTTAGATATAACCTTCATGGAAGTACAAACGCTTCAAATAATAATACATAGAAAGGGTTCTAAAACGGGTGGGATAATTATCTACAAATTACTCCTGATGGGTAAGTATCTTATTCCTGCTGTTACTGACGAAGTGATAAAGATCAGATTGTAGGGTGCACGGAGGGCTTCGTCAAAATGCTTGTCCCGGCAAATGAAATGGAGCCGGGAGAAGTGAGTGGACATCGCGTGTCACTCTATTTAC